ACACAGTCAAGCGTGTACACATTAATATTAATACTTTAAATTTATTGGTCTTCCGAATGGTCTTCTGTACCATAGATTTGGCCATCCTAAATTATTCTCTAAACTTTGTGGTCATACTAACACTTTTACAGTATGACAAAGTTTCCTATAATATTTCAGGTGTCTTTTTTCGGAGATTTATGTTATTTTTGGCTGTTCCGGGTCTTTGTTGCTTTGGGCAGGCTTTCTCTCGTTGCAGCAGGGAGGGGCTGCTCGTCCTAGCGGTGTGCAGGCTTCTCGTTGCAGTGGCTTCTCATCGCGGAGCGTGGGCTCTAGAGTGCACGGGCTTCAATAGTTGCAGTGTGTGGGTTCAGTAGCTGTGGCTTTTGGGCTCTAGAGCGCTGGATTAGTACTTGTGGTGCACAAGCTTAGTTGCTTCACAGCATGTGGAATCTTCCCTGACCAGGGATCTAACCCATGTCACCTGCATCGCAAAGCAAATTCTTCACCACTGGGCCATCAGGGAAACCCTTCAAGTGTCTGTTTTCTTCTTAGGATATCTTAGTTTCTGAAATGACAACTTGTCCATTTCCATATTTAAGTTAGTACAGATGTAATTGGTTAATGTTGCCAATAACTTTTGGAGTAGCGGTATGTTGGCACTAGTGGTAAAGAACCCGCCTACCAGTGCAAGAGACACAAGAGATGCAGGTTTAATCCTTGAGTCAAGTAGGAAATGGCAACCTGCTCCAGTATTCTTGCCTGGAAAAGTCCATGGATAGTGGAGCCTGGCAGGCTGCCGTGGAGCCACAAAGCGTCGGACGTGACTGAGCACAACGGCACATGCTTCAAAACAGCCTAGGTAGAGTTTGTGGTGGCGCCTTTCAGGTTACAAGGTATTTCTGTGCACACTAGTAGCAAGTATTATTATTATCATTTTTACTTACATTTATGAACTTGGGAAGTACCAAATGAGGACACTTAGGACCTTCCTGCTGCTGTGGTTAATTTATACGTGGTTAGTGGACTGCAGTTTCAGTCCAGGATGTGGCTCTATCTCCTTGTCCAGTCATGCTGTACCTATAAAAGGGTTGCATTTTCAACCGCAGGATCAAACATGCTCATAACTCTCAATCTTTTGTAAGGTGTTTCCCAAGTGGTATGTTACTAGTAACAACAAAGTGAAGTTTATGAGTGATTTACTTAACCTTGAAGCTCCTCTGTAGTTTTTTGGTTTTTGATGTAATAATGTCACTGTAACGTACATTTCTCTGTTGCCTCCTTAGTGGAAAGTAAAGTAGGTTGCCTAGCTTAATGACACTGGAGTTGTGCATAAGAACTCTTGGGAATGTGTTGAACACAGGGCTGCTTGGGAATAAAGGTAGGATTTCCCAGACTCTGATATAGAGGTTTGCATGCAGGTGGTTTCCTGGGTTGGCCTTGCTAAGGGGTCCCATATTGAGGCCTTTTTACTCAGCCATTGAAAGGTCATTGGCTGCACACTGCCCTTGAAGAGGGAGTGTGACCTGGAATGAGGCAGCTTGTTTGCCCCAGGGCGTGCCTGGGAAGGGACGCAGCTATGAGCCAGTGGCAGGCAGCATCCTGGGCCTCGGGGGGGATAAGTGTCGTGGACCCAGACAGGGAAACTGAGTGACCCATCACAGCCTCCACTACAAGAGCCAATGAGAGAATGTCTTGCCAGAAAGATTCCAAGTGTGCAACAGGAAACTGCAGCATTTGTTCTCCTGACCTTGTGGGTCTACATATTTCTTAAGGTGTGGGAATGTGGACCTCTCTTTAATATATTGGTTTCTTTTATGCTTTTTCCTGCCATTCCCAGCCAGTGGTAGCAACAGGGAAGTTCGTTTACATAAGAGTCTGGCACTTGAGCTGTTTGGGATTGACCATCATTTTGAAATTTAGATAATAATTCTCAGAGCACAGTGATTAAAAAAAAATTGGCTTTGTGCTGTTGGTGTTTACATAATTATAATTCAGTGCTTCGAAGCAGTTGTTACCCTCTAGAACTGGTAAGTGATCAAGAACCATCAGAACTGTGTGTCATCAGTGAGACCAGTGTGCAGTCTCTGATTGATTGTTGGTGTGGGAGCCCTAACACCCCTGACTGGTGGTTCACACCCTGCTGGCCGCCTCATTTTCATCCAGTGAGCACTGGAGCAGATACTTCTGTAGTTATTACTGTGGTATAACCATCTAGAATTGATGATTCTGTTTTTAAAAAATTTATTTTATGTTTGGTCGTACTGGATCTTTGTTGTTGCACGGACTTTTCTCTGGTTGTTGTGAGCGGGGGCTCCTCTCTAGTTGTGGTGTGCTGTCTTCTCTCATTGTGGAGCATGGACTCCATAGCTGTGGCACGTGGGCCTAGTTGCTCTAGTGACAGGTGGGATCTTCCTGGACCAGGGATGGAACTCGTGTCTCCTGCACTGGCAGGCAGAGTCCTCAGCACTGAGCCACCAGGGAAGCCCTGGTGACTCTCTGTGAAAGCCGCTTTGGAGGAGGCCTTGTGTGGGTGTGTTCAGTGTTCAGACTCCCGAGTGGCGGCCTCTGCTCTGCCGCTCCTTTCCACTGTTGTCGACCGCCAGCTGCTTATTGTGTGACAAGGGGAGACAGCTTTCTGTGTAAACAAGCGTGTGTGGGGGGCCAAGTGGAATGTGGACCTCAACAAATACTTGTTGAAGGAAAAAAAGGGGCCTGGGATATGCCATTTAAGGAAAGAAAACAGTAATTGTAACAATCGATGATTGCATGCTTAGCCTTGGGTACTTGTGCCAAGTCCTTTCCGTGAATTATTTCATTTTATCCTTATAACTGCCCTGTGAATAACACAGTAGGTATGCTCACATCTGTTTCGCAGATGAGGAAGCTGAGAGTCAGTTGCGTGTAGCCTGGTCTCATGGCTAATGAGATGGCAGAGCCAGGACGACCAGTTGGAATCTGAACTCTAAACCCCCAGGTGGTATTGCATCCCAGAGGTCACTGGTGTCAGGACAGATGGTGGCAGAGTCTGGAGTATGCTAAGGCAGAGGCCTTGTTTTCTAGGAAGAGAAGAGAGAACTGGCCAACTGAATAGGCAAAAGGGAGCAGGCACCTGCTACCAGAACTGTGGCTTTTGTGCACCAACAAAACTGAAAAATAGAGATGATTTCTCACTGTTCATCCCAGTCATGTCAAATCTGGACACCAGTTTGTAGGGAGTTCTGAAGGGATGATCGAAGAAAACAGTGCCTGGCACGTTGCTGGCAGTGGATTAAAAAAAAAAAAGCTAATTATGAGTTCAGTTTGCATGAATGCAGACTTTGCCTTTATTCTGCTTGTATAGGACAGGGAACATTTTTTTTTCTCTTGCTTCCCTACTGAATGTTTAAGATAGACTTCTTCACTGCACTGTAGCCAAATAATCCAAAAAAGAAAAGGAAGTCCAGGGTTGTGAATGATAGTCTTGTAATGTGTGCAGCTTTCGTTGACTCCCTCCACCGTTATAATAAGGCGTCTAAAGTTGGATCTGGGCAGAGAGAAAGTGATGCCTCTTTTTCTTGATGGGTAAAGTCGATTATCTGTAGGAGGGGACCTAGCCTGACCAATGACTTTCCTTTATTTTTTTAGGCAGGGATCCCTTTTGTCTTTCAGGGATCCCTTTTGTCTTTCAGTTACACTTGCAGATTTTTCTTCCTGTTGTTTTAGGTACAGCCAACACTTCTGTCCTGACTTAACATTCTGTTCCTCCTTTACCCGCCGAGAACTGTCAGCCCTCCCTCCCTTTCCCTCTAGAGAGCCTTCTTAGCCTTCATGCTTATTAGCCTTGCACTGTTTTTGCAGTTGAATACATTACCTCCTTATGCCCTGGGTACTCTGAACCCTGAGAGTCCTAGATGAATGGAAACACAATTCCAGAAAAATCTTCACCCTGATTCTTGGTGACTTAGCACGCCGAGACTTTCCATGCAGCCTTATAGTATACAGTTGTTGTATTTGAGTGGTGAATTAATACTTTTGTTTGTATCCAGTAAGTCACTGATGTCAGCCAGAGCTTACTAGAAGTGAATTTCATTTAGCAAGTTCTGTTGGGACAAAGAGTGCCGCTTTCCCCAGCTTCACAGGAGCCTACTCCAAAGGGAGCTTTGGCAGGTGGATTCAGGAACAGGCAGAGGGATACATGTGCACACTTGGCCTTTTTCCTGTTTCATGCTCATATTTCTTTGTGCTACCAGGATCGTCATGACAGCCTTATCTCTCAGATAAAGCCTGTTACCTCATCCTTAATTGCTTATCCAAAGGCAGGCGAGCTCTGATTTCTCCGCATTAATAAATGACACTGAAGAAGAAACGGCTTTGTTTGCACTGGCTCACTCGGTTAACCAGCGCAAGCCCCCGAGTGCATTAGGAAACCTTGTGCTTCTCCTGTGGCCGAGGGGGGACGTGCTCACTTCACTCAGGCAGCACCTCGTTTATGTACTTTGTGCTCACATTCACAGCCCTGTCCCCCTCTTCTTGGAGGAAACACTGCAGTAACCTAGGTCAGCATTTCTCTGCTATGGACACGCACTCCCGTCTAGGTTGGGGAACAGGAGCAGATGTCCTGGAAGGATCAGTGGCTTCCCTCCCTGGTTTCAAGGCTCGTTCTTGGCTTCCTGCCACTCCTCTTTCCTGAGATGTTGAGAGGCTTTCCACAGGCCTCTGCACTGATTGCCGTGGCGCCCCTCAGCTTGTGAGATGGCACCCCTGTTGCTCCTTTTTGATTCGTTATGTGACATGGTCTTGTGGAGTTTATAAGTGGATTTGAGGAGACCTCACATGCATGTGGGGTCAGAGATTTGAGAGTGGCTATAAGGTCTGAATGAGTTTTATGACTGTGCTCTGTGGAATAGTGAGAACACTGCTTCTCCTTGGTATCAGCATTGTCTCTCTTGTCACCACCTAAGGCCATTGCTGATCATTTAAAGGGCCTGCATATTCATGTCTCAGAATTTTAGTATTTCTTTTCTTTTTTTCCTCCTCAGAATGAAATGGATGATGTTCCCTTCTTTGATATCCAACTGCCTTATGAGTTGGCAATCAATATATTTCAGTATCTGAACAGGAGAGAACTAGGACGGTGTGCACAGGTAAGCTGTCAGGATTTACTTGCATGTGTAATTCAAGTGTGGGAAGCTCCTCCATAATAGAAGTGTACTTTACAGAATGACAGACTGGACATAGTTAACAGATTGGATATCAGCTTTGCTTGAAGGAAAGCAACCTTGAACTTAAACTATCAAGTTCCACATCCCCACATGGTGTTGATCTTTTCGTGACTGACTGCCCCAGTGCTGCGTTCCTCCTGCAGTCTGAGTTATGGCTGACCCGTGGCAGCGTGCTCAAGGCTGACAGCACTGTGCTCGCTTTTCTGAGCTCGCCAGAGTTGTTAATGTCCTCACTGTTTCTGATGCAAAGGTGTGAGGCCTTGGTTCAATCAAGCCAGCCGTTAGGTTGGGGGCTGAGGGTCAGCCTGAGGACAAAACAGTGACATCATGTTCCACTGTACAGTCCAAATTACCCTTCAGACACCCGAATTCCATGCAGTGAGGCGAGAGGCATGTGAGAACTGAGACCTACCGAGGGAATTGCAGATCAGCGTCCCCCATTTCGTGCCTGCTCTGGGCCACATGCTGGTGGAGTGGGATGGTGGCAGATAGCTTAGGCCGGACTTTATTGTGTGTACAAATCACAGTGGGTCTGGATAAAATGCAGTTTCAGATTCAGGAGGTCTGGGGTGTGGCCCACACTAGTCTGCATTTCTACCAGCTGAAGCTGGTGTGGCTTTGGCCATGCTTTAAGAGGCAGGCATTTATGCCATTAAAGTTGGTCTTGTATTTCTCTTCTTGGTGAAGAGTTAATGTGATTGCTGATCACTTGGCTTTTCACAGACAGCTATGTTTCCCAGAAGACACTGGAGTATCCATGGCCCATATCACCCAAAGAAGTAATCTGTTTAGTGGTTACCATTTCCCATCTGTAGATCCTATAATGCCTTTGACACAAGTCGCTATACCTTTAGGAGAAAGAGTTTGGTGAAACTGTGTGGTAGGAGGGACTTCCCTGGAGGTCCAGCAGTTAAGACTCCACACTTCTACTCTAAGGGGTGTGGATTCAATCCCTGATCAGGGAACTCAGATTCTACATGTTGGGTCATGTGGCCAAAAAAAAAAAAAAAGACATTAAGTGGTAGAAAAACTACACATTAAAAATCTAAAACACTGCCATGAATGTGAAGTTAAAAATATTAAGGCAGTTTGAGATTGGTGAAAACTGTGCCCAAACTTAGACTCTAGAGCTGGCTGACCCCATGGCAGTTCAGTGAAATGACAATGGAATACAAGACAGAGAGTTTCTGGTTTTACTCTATTTCCCTATTATGATTTTACCCTGTTATGAAGCAGTTTGCTTAATCAAAATGTTTTTCTACTTAAATATGAATTTGAGAAGGTTTTCAGGATTTTTGATTGCCACAGCATCAGTTAAAAGGGGATGTTGGCTAATATTTTTTGATGGAGAGTGTGGAAATCATTAGGAAGAAATTATTCAAAGGGTAAAATTCACAAAATAAAAATCTTTGCAGTATAGACTGTGCTCAGAGCCTATTGATTGCATTAAGTAAGAGTACCTACATTGTCTTCTTTCCCTTGGCAGTTGGATTTGTTATATTCTAACTTTACATATTGGCCCTATCCCAAGAATTGAAAACAAGGGCGTAGCTAAGTGAGTCCAGCTCCTGGATTTCAGCTGGATGCTGTTAGCTGAAGCCTTAGAACAGTGTCTAATAGCTTGCTTTCCACAAAGTCAGCGTTCGGTGATAAAATCTTCATTCTGGATAGGGAGCTGCTGTTTAAGGAATCATTTCTTTTAACATTGCTTTTTGCTCTCCCGCTTTGTAGAGGGCCATGTGGCTTTCACATCTGCTGCTGGTTTTCTCATCCAGAGAGTTTATCAGTGGAAAGATAGGATCTGGTGGAAGAAGAGATCCCCCTTTTGGTACAGTGGGGCTGCATTCCAGGGTAGATTGGTTATGCTGGTGAGATTATTCTGCAGGTGTGAACAGTTTAATTTGCAACACAGTAGTCCAATTGTCCACCAGAATTCTTCCCTCTTGGGCCAGTTGGATATGGATTTTTGTTGTTGTTGAACCTAATTTTTAAAGCACATGTGTAAGAATAGAAAATATCCCTAACCAGAGCCCCTGAGGTGGCTGTGATCTGCGAAGCTAGGGGTTTTTTATGTTTGTTTGTTTTCTGAGCTTTTGCACGAAGAGGACAGTGGATGGCCAGTAGTTTGTAGACTTGGTTTTGTTTTTTTTCCCAAGCATTAAAATAAAACACCAAAGTAATAAAAATAAGTAGCATTTCCATTTGTTTCTTACGGTGTTTTTATTTTTGAAACAGGGGAAAGGGCCTTCTGTTCAATGGAACGTCCTGCTGCTTTATGATTTTATTTTAGTGGGGCTAGCTCTCTCCATCTTGCTGTTTTCCTCTGGTTCTCTTTTAATCTAGCCGCCTTGGGATTTGAGTGAAATTGGTTGGGCCAGTTATGGGGAATTGGCACTATGAACTATATGTGTGCCCTTGGAGAAAACCTGTTTGCTTAGATCTTTGTGCCAAATTGGTAACTGACTCACAGTAAGGAACCCTGGTTGGGGAGGACTTCTGAGATTTCATTATGCCACAGACTTGGAGAATTGATTTGGCTCTGACTTCTTCTCCTTTTTGTTTTGTGAAGCTTGATGCTTCAAAACTGAAGTCCCCCCATGTTAGTCTGTGACCCTGTGGACTCTGGATACTGGCCTCCCTAGCTTCTTGCTGTCCATACCTGGGCCCTCAAGGGGTTTATATCTCTGTGGGAGAGTCTCATGCTGAGATGTCTCAAACAGTGTGGCATTTAGTAAGCAGTTATGTGTGGGACAGCTCATCGAGCAGTTTATCATTTTGCTACTTGTAATTTTATGTTCTTTGTATGCGTGTGTGTATGTCCACAGAATTTCCAATCTTTCCAACATAATATTTTAAAATGGGTAACATTGAAAAAATTATTGATTTCAGAATTGCAGAATTGTTTGTTTTTTATGAGAAAAAGGTAAGTGCTATTATATTACTGGATAATTCTAAGTACTAGAGGTTTTTAAGTATGTACCAGTGTTCATTTAAAACACTTTACTTTTAAATTCATAGGAAGTTGCAAAATACAGTGCAGAGAAGTTATATGTACCCTTCCCCCACTTCCTCCATTGTCAGTAGCTTGGAAAATTGTCCCACAGTATCAAAACCAGGGATTGACATTTGTGAAGTCTGCAGAGCTTATTCAGATTTCACCAGTTTAACACACACTTGTGTGTATTTGGTTCTGTGTGGTTTTATCATGTGTGTAGATGTGAGTGACCACACAGTCAAGATACAGAACTTTCATCACAAGAATTCCTGCTACTCTTTTATAGCCACACCCTTCCCCTTCACTAACCCCTGGAAACCTTGAATTTATTCTCTATCTCTGTAATTTTATTTTATTTAAACAATTTTTTAGAGATTTCATTAAGAATTTTTGTTTGTTTTTAGCTGCAGTGGGTCTTTGTTGTTGCACGGGCTTTCCTCTAGTTGCGATGAGGCGGGGGCTGCTCTCGTGCGCCACAGGCTTCTCACTGCAGTGGTGTCTCTCGGGAGCAAGGACTCTGGGGCGCTCAGTCTCAGTGGTTGTGCTGCCCGGGCTTAGCTACTTCCGGGCATGTGGGATCTTCCTAGACCAGGGATCAAACCCATGTCTCCTGCACTGGCAGGTGGATTCTTTATCATGGAGCCACCAGGGAAGCCCTGTATTTTATTTTTTCTTTTTCAGCTCTGATATATATTTTAGTTATGTGTATTTCCTAATGTGTAATTTTAGCAGTAGAGCTGCAAAGGCAAAAAGGTCATGCTTTTCAAGTAAAATGTAGAAAAGTGCTTAAAGAATGTAATCAAGAAAAAGAGGGAAGATGGAGAGGTTAAAAACTTAAGATTTATGATAAAAATTGGCAAGCAAGAAGTAGGTGTTACCAAAATAAAGAAGTACTTCTGGAACTAAAGCCTAGTCTATCAGATTATGATATTTCAAGTATCAAGGAAAATGTGATCTTATGATCTTCCCAGATGTCCAAATAGGAGAAGCTAAGACCAGACTTTTTCTGGCTGCAGATCTTAATGACAGGTTTAAAAGTTGGGGATTTAGAGCCAAGCGCTCTGGGTTGATTTTTCAGAGCAGAAATGATGCTGAGGACCTGCGGTTGCTGGCAGAGTTCCCTCAGTTCCTAACTTCACCTTTGCCCCCAGATGCCTTTCAGGGAGGCTTGTGCGTACCTGACACCCAAGCACCTACAGGCGTTTCCTTTTAATTTGCCAGGTTGCAATGGCTGCTGCCTCTAAGTGGGGTTAGGGAAAAGCAGAGCAGCTCCAGAAAGAAGATGGGGAGCTCGATGAAACAGGGACAGTGAAGTGTTGATAATCATTTGAATGGAGTTGGCGGTGGGGGGGGGGGCGGGACTTGAGAGTTGTTTTATGCTGTTCAGCTTTGTGTGGTGGACATTTTCCATATTAAAATTTAAACGAGAAAAAGCAAGCAAGAGATTATACTTGAATAAGAAAGTCAGAGCCTTTTGAGGACAGCACATGCCAGGAGCTGACCTTTGAAAGTAAAAACAATCCAGTTTTTTAAAGTGTTAAACATTGTTGGACTTACTCTTCTCATTCAGTCTTTTACACAGGGCCTGCTATGTGCCATGTATGTACCGTTCTAGACAGTGAGTACAGCAGTGAACAAAACAGAAACCCCATTCCCCCCACCTTTTAGAAAGCTTTAAAATTATGTGCAGTAAATACAGCATTGAATATAGAGTATATCAGGTGGTGGTAAGTGCTGTGGAGAAGAGAGACCAGCAGAGACGATGTTGGGGTTCCACTTCTAAGTGTTAAGAAGATGTCACAGAGACAGTGACCGTTCTGTTCAGACTGAAAGGGAAGCAGGAAGCTGGACGGGTCTCTGGTAGAGGTGAATCACAGGTGCAAAGGCCTGGAGGTGAGTGCAGCTTTTGTGTTTGAGAATAGCATGA